GCCAAGATACTCTCTTGCAGCACAATGAAAGTACTGTAGCAACTTTAGCCATTTATTATGGCAAAAATATTCACATTAAGGCGAGTTTCAAATAACAGGGGAGGGTGGATTACTGGGGAGCAAACTCTGTTTGATTGGGAATAGCTTGAATCAGATTGAAATACATTTCTTTTGTGGCATACAAACAAAATCAATTAACTCTGTAAGTAAATCAGTCTTCTATTTCTTTTCCTTCAAAATATGCAATGGTAATTCATTGTTAAGATAAGTATGATTTACTTATAGTTCTTATGTTCTATACTTCAATAAGAAAGGATGTGAGAAATCCTTTACTGGGGATGATATTTTACTGAAACTAATGGAATTTATTTCCAAATATTTTTCAGAATCAATTGTTTAAAAAATAAGCAGTAACTTCTGGCTACTTTACATTACTACAAACTTTTTTGTGTGATGGGTGGCTATATGATAAAGAACTGCATTGTTTTTAATATTTTTCCTCAACTAGCTTGCTATGGTATTAATAAATGTAATTGGTTTTGTTATACACCACCTACAGTCATTTTCTGTGAGATGAGCAGCTATATGATAAACAAATAAAAAAACAGAAACATAATTAAGATTTACCTGAGAAAAATACCACCCGTACAAAGGAAGCCATTTTAATCCATCTTTCAAAACATATCGAATATGTCCAAGAGCATTTTGCCTGATGGCCAACATATCTGCTATTATCCAATCAACTGCAAATCCAGAACACAAATATTTATAAATATAACACATCCTTGGCATACGCGATGCCAATTCTCTTTCCTGAAAAACAAATGCTGCTAAAGGTCATGAATTGAGCTTTTCAGTTACAAAGAAAAATAAGCTCTTTCCACAATTCTGTTTCTTCTCTTTTTAGATTTTGAACTTTCTATTCTCAGTTTATTTCTTAATTCTCAATAGAAAAGTTTTAAATGAATATGATGCTATTTAATTCACTTCACTAAAATTCCAACTCATTTTAGTATAGTACATAACAAGGTCTATATAAACTGTCATTTTATAAAATGTACTCTTAAAAGCTGAATTAGAAAAAAGATGACTTGTGGGCTATAAAGTGGTTTATCAATGAAGCTAATAACAAACAGGAAACTTTTGTGACAAAATCCAGCAGTAGTTTTATAGTGGTAGAAAATGCTTCTATTCCCAGAAGATGGCAACCAAACTCATCTCTCTTATCTGACTCCCTCATTTGTTTGAACCATTTTACACGTTACCCTACCGAGTCTCCATCTTTTAAAGTATTTTTTCAATATAGACAGGGAATTATAAAGAGCAGGGAAGAACTGGAGAAAATTTGATATCTCATCTTGCAAGAGCACCAAAGGAAAGGTATTGTCAAGAACTTTAAAAGCTTCACTGTATATAGAAAACTTGTCCTTTTAAATTAGGCTTCTACCATAACGTACAAAAAATCAAACTTCTACCAACTCTTACACATTTTTCAATTTTCAGTTGTAGACATTTTAATCTGAATGTTAGTTCTACATACAGGTAGTTCTCGCTTAATGACAATCTGAAATTACGAATGCCTCAGAAAAGATGGTGATGTGATCACAATCTGGTTTCTTAGCAACCTGTTCGCCCTTATGACTGGTTGTCAAGCACCCTGTGATCATGTGATCACCCCTTGCAATCCTGCCTGTTGGCCTCTACAGAAAGTCAATGGGGAAGCTGGCAAGAAGGCTGCATAGTGCTACCATCTGGCAGCCTCTCATTCTGGGGGTTGGTTGTGCTGTTTTATGCCTTTCTGGCTCTGCAGAGGCAGGAAAGGAGAATGGCCACCTTCATGTCTGCTTGAACCTCAGCAGCTGACATATATGAAGCTAAAATCCCTCAACAAGCATGGAGAGGGACTTCATTCACTTAATAACCCGTGAGATTGTTTAGTGACTGCAACCAGGAATGGTGGGATTGTGGTTGTCAGTGAAGCAGTGACATGGGCATCTCATTTCAACGAGCAAAACTCAAGTCCCAATTACAGTTTTTAAGGGAAGACTACTGTACTTCTACTTCATTCATTGTAATTGTTAACATTACAAAAAATGCCTTATAGAGAAACCAGCAATACACAAACCTGCACTTTGATGATTTGATATCCATACCACATTCTCTTTATTTTTTGGCAAATCACCATACAGAATTATCTAGGAAGGGAGAAAAAGTACTTAATTAGCCTTATTATATAAAAATAAATTTAAAATCAAATCTCAAATTTGGTTTCTTCTTTTAAAGATGAATAATGAATCTTATTCAAGATTCCCTTTTCCACCTCAATGCAGCATTGGTCTACTATAAGGGTCTCCAAACCTCGCAACATTAAGACTTGTGAACTTCAACTCCCACTATTCTCCAGTGAGCATGGCCTGCTAAGGTATTCTGGGTATTCTGCTTGCAATTCTCATTACTGTGAGAGGCTGCACGTTGTGAAGAAGAACAAAGCGAGGTGAGGGGGTGGAGAACAAAGCAAGGCAGGAGGTGTGGAGCTGTCCCAAGGGCCCCGCATCAGCCAAGCCACCCATGCCAAATCCTCACATCCCCCCTCAGGGCAGCCACATCCCTTCACTAACCAGCTTTCCAGCTCCGTTCTCTGCAGCGCATTCAGGACAAGAAAAGTAGTCTATTGGACTACACTAAAAAAAATAAAAA